TGCTGCTTGGCCTGCTGTGTTCATCCAGCCCTGCACCTTGTTGTCTCAGAGACTGAAACTAACCACACGGACACCCTTCGCCTGTGGCAAGGCCTACACAACATAGCAGCATACAAAATGAAGGGCCTGTTTCCGTGCTGTATGACTCTATGAAGCAGAACAAGATCGTGGACAAAAGCACATCCCTCCCAAAAGTACTCAATGCCAGCGGCATGGTGACACCTGCCCCGACAGTCCCAGACTCGCCTGCTCCCTCTGTCACCGCTGCAGACATCAGATCGGTCTCCCTGGGAGTCAACCCAAGGAAAGCGATGGACCTAGACAGAGACCCCAGCTGGGCACCTAGATCCTGTGTGGACCAGCTGGCGGAAGTGTTCACTGACATCTTCAACCTCTCCTTGCTACAAACTGAAGTCCCTACCTCCATCATCCCAGTGCCGAAGAAAGCATATGCAATGTGCCTTAATGATTACTGCCCAGTGGCAGTCACCTCCATGACCATGAAGTGCTTCGAGAGACTGGTCATGGCCCACATCAACTCCAGCCTCCCAGCCTGACTCGATCACCTGCAATTTGCTTACCAGCAAAACAGATCCACAGTGAACACCATTTCCCTAGCTCCACACTGATCCCTAGAACTCCTGGATGACAAGGACACCTACATCAGACTCCTACTCATCGACTACAGCTCATTACCATAATCCCTTCCAGACCAATCTCAAAACTCCAAGACCTAGGTGTTGGCTCCATCCTCAGCAATTGGGTCTTCGGCTTCCTTGCCCACAGACTGCAATCAGTGAATATAGACAACAGCACTTCCTCCATAATAACCCTCAACACTGGAGCCCTGCAAGGATGAGTTCTCAGCCCCCTACTGTACTCCTGTACACACACGACTGTGTGGCCAAATTCTGTATGAATGCCATCTACAAGTTCACCGACAACACCACTGTGGTAGGACAGATATTGAACAATGATGAGTCAGAGTACAGAAAGGAGTTAGAGGGCTTGGTGAGCTGGTGCAACGAGAACAACCTCTCTCTCAATGTCAGCAAAACTAAAGAACTGATCATTGACTGCAGAAAGAAGGTAGGAGAGCACGCCCCTATGCACATCAACAGAGCTAAGATGGAGAGGTTTGAGAGCGTCAAGGTCCTAGGAGTGACAATAACCAACAAGCTGTCCTGGACTTCCCACGTAGATGCGACCGTCAAGAAGACACAATAACGCCTCTTCTTCCTCAGGTGGCTCAGGAAATATGGCATGTCCATAAGGTCCCTCACCAACTTCTATAGATGCACTATAGAAAGCATACTGTCTGGGTGCATAACTGCCCTGCTCAGGACTGTAAGAAACTAAGGTTTGTAAGAACAGGCCAGATCATTACGGAAGCCAACCTCCCACCCATGGATTCCATTTACATTTCTTGTTGCCGCAGAAACGCGGCCAACATCATCCAAAATCCTTTCCACCCCGGTAATGCTCTCTTCCAACCTCTTCCATCAAGGCAGAAGATACAGAAGCTTGAAAACACGCACCAACAGGATCAAGAACAGCTTCTTCCCTGCTGCTATTAGACTGCTGATGGGACCTCTCTAGGTTCAAATGATATTGATCCAGCTAACGTTCACCTTACTTTGTGCACCTCCTGTGCAGCCATAACCTTGTATTCCTCACTCCGACTAAGACTCTACGATCTGTATGTCCTTGTTTGCCATGATCTGTCTGTACTGCTTAGAAAATAAAGTACTTCACTGGGCTTAGGTTTCGTGTGGCAGCAATAAATCAAATCAGATTCAATAGGAGTGTTGAATTGAATAGTTCTTTCAAAGGCATCAGATCGTCATGTTTGTTTTTTGACATACTCATTCATGGGATATGAGGGTCTCAGGCATTTATTGCCCAACCCTTGAAGCCCCTGGAGAAGTTGGTGGTGAGCTGTCTTCTTGAACCATTGCAGTCCACCTGCCGTAGGTTGACCCACAATGCCCTCAGGAAGAGAATGCCAGGATTTTGACCCAGCAACAATGAAGGGACAGTGATATACATGATATTTCCTCTGACTGGTGGATGGGTCTCGATCAAAGGTTCACATGGGAGACCATTTCGGGCTGAGATGAAGAGAAAATTTCTTCACTTGGACAGTGGTGAACCTATGGAATATATTCAAGAGAGGAATAGATAGATTTCTAGAGGCTAAAGGTTAGAGACCTGTTTTCTCCAGAATTTAGAAGGTTATCATAGAGGTATCCAGCATGGAAACAGACCCTTTGGTCCAACTCATACATGCTGACCAGATACCCTATATAAATCTATAAATCTCTAAACCCTTCCTATTCATGTACCCGTCCAGATGCTTTCTAAATGTTGTAATTGTATCCACTTCCTCTGACAGCTCATTCCATACAGGCACCACTGTCCATGTAAAAAAATTGCCCCTTAGGTCCCTTTTAAATCTTTCCCCTCTCACCTTAAACCTATTTCCTCTAGTTTTGGACTCCCCCACCCCAGGGAAAAGACCTTGGCTATTCATCCTATCCATGGCCCTCATGATTTTATAAATCTCTGTAAGGTCACCCCGCAGCCTCCGACACTCCAGGGAAAATAGCCCCAGCTTATTCAGGCTCTCCCTGTAGCTCAAAACCTCCAACCCTGGCAACATCCTCGTCAATCTTTTCTGAACCCTTTCTTAAGGGGTGATCTAATATAAATCTTCAAGATATAAACAGGAAAAGACAGGGTAGATAAAGATAAACTATATCCTCTGGTTGGGGATTCTAGAACTAGGGGATATAGTCTGAGAATTACGGCCAGACCGTTCAGGAGAGATGTTAGGAAGCACTTCTACACACAAAGGGTGGGAAAAGTTTGAAACTCTCTTCTACAAGTGGCAATGATGATGGATCAGTTGTTAATTTTAAATCTCGAAAGAGACAAAGAAATTTGTGAAGCCAAGGTCTTAAGAGATATGGACCAAAGGCAGGTATAGGGACTCGGGCCATGATCTTATTGAATGGCAGAACAGGCCTCAGGGGTTGAATGGCCTCCTGCTTGTCCTTTTCTCTTACATTTCTGTCAGTCAGGACAGTGTGTCAATTCTTATGTTCCTAAAGGTGTTGGAGGGTATGGGGAGACAGTGAGAGTATGGTGTTGAGATGGAGGATCAGCCATGATTGTGCTGAAAGGTAGAGAAGGCTTGATGGGCCAAGCAGCCTACATTTATGTAAGTGAGGACAATGAGCGAATTGGAGGGAAAATGGTCTTCCCATGCATTTGCTGTCCTCCTTCTAATGCCTGCCGACAGAAGCATTACCCTCACACGTCAATAAAATCACACAAACCCGGGGCAGTGTTTGTACATGTCCCAGAGAAGGGAGAGGAAAAAAACCCCAGAAAAGGCCCTTCTCCCGTTTGTCAGCGGTCTGGTGTGTACACCAAGAGCAGAGGCCTCTTTAGGGAACTCTTGGCAATCACAATGTTTATGTAAATCCCTCTTCCAGCCGTCTCCAGTCCCTCAGTGATTTGACAACCCCCCACCCCCCCACTGGCCAACCTATCGAAAGCAGAGGCGTGCCTGGCCTAGCCTTGGTCCAGCCCAGTTCGCTGGGTTTCGCCTCCTGCTGCTGCTAAGGTGGGCGGGTGCTGTTAGCAAGGTTGGAGTCTCAAGCAGACGGTGTGTGAGGAGGGAGCTTCAATATGAGATTGAACCAAAGTAAATTGGCTCCAGCAAGAGCCGAGGAGGGCTCAAAATCACAGTACAGCGCTTCAGGTAACAAGGTTATAAATAATAAAAGCAGCAACAGGCATGTGTGCCTGTCTGTGTGTATCTCTCTTCCTCCTTGTACTGTCTGTGATGTGTCTTTTAATAGCCTGCCTTTCTCTGCAGGGCTGGGATGCTTTGGTTGGATTCTAATCATCCTGTCGATTATCTTTACCCTCGCAACTCTACCCATCTCAATCTGGTTCTGCATGAAGGTAAATTTCTAATGGTTTGTAATTCAGCTTTTAATTCAGAATTTTAATTCAGAAACATTGAATGGCTGTTGTCCTCATTCATTCCAAACCTCAGCAAGAGCCAACCAACCTCAACACCCACAAACCAAGCTACAAATCTACTCCAAAACTTTAAAGACCCTCTTCTGCTAATTAGGGAAAGTTCATGGTCCTGGCTCGCTGAAGTGTGACTCGTTTTATTTGTTTTGGTATTTGTTGGAAAAGGGACAGAGACTTGCTTTAGAGGTCTGCACTGTTAGTTTGCTCCATGTCAGATGATGCTGGGGTGTCTTTGCACTCAAATCTCCAAAGGCGTCAAGAATAAGTTCAGAAGTTTTCAGAAAAAAGCATTTGGCATCCTCAAAATAAAACGACAGACTGCCGATGCTGGAGATCTGAAAGGAAAACAGAAATTGCTGGTGGAACTCAGCATGTCTGATGGCATCTGTGCACAGAAAGCAGAATTAACATTTCGAGTTGGGTGACTCTTCATCAGAACGTCCTTAGCTTTCTAAACAGAGGAATAAAGTACAAGAAAGAAAGCGGTTCAGATTAATCTTTGTAAAACGCTTATAGCTGTTCGCTGGAGTTAACTTTATGACTTGGTCTTAATTGGGTGTGCCCCTAGACCAAATGAATTGCAGCAGTTCAAGAAGGCAGCTCCCCATCACCTTCTAAAGGGCAACTAGGGATGGGTAAATAAATACTGCCCCAACCAGGGACAGGAAAATAAATACTGCCCCAACCAGGGACAGGAAAATAAATACTGTCACAGCCAGCAATGCCCACATCCCATGAATGAAGGTTTTAAAAATATGGCTGTGGTAGATCTGACAATATCTGTGGAGAGCAAAAGAGAGAGAGAAACAAAGTTAACATTTCAAGTGAAAACATTTGTCAGATATGGTAGATGTTACAGATGTTAACAAGATTTAAACAAGCACGGAGACAGTGCAAAGAAGAGAAGGAGGAAGGTCTGTGTTAGGGCGGGTGTGAATTTGGCGAAAAAAGCGAAAAGATGGCATGAGTACATTTCTGTAATGAGTGAGTTGATACGATGGGGAAGGTGCTGCCTGGAAAGGTGGTGGGAGGAAGCATTCACAACAGAACTTAACAAATGCTTGGAAGGGAAACATATCCTGGTCTATTAGAAAGTGACAAGGAAAAATGAGATTAATTAGTTCTCTGTCCCAAAGAGCTAGCATGGGCTAAATAGGCTGAATGGCCCTGTGTGCAATATTATTTGATAACTGCACTGTGTGGTGCATCCCACCTAGTTGAATAGTCCGTCAGTGACTATGGTACTGGGATCACATTGGGTGAGGCTAACACAGGCTTACACATGGAGGAGCTCAGGAGAGAATGTCAATCAAAACATGACAAGGACACAATATGAAGCCAAGGTCAGTGGGTGAAGTTGGGATAGATATCCACCAGGATCCCAGTGAATGGTAGAACAGTCTCATGGGGGTGGAATGACCTCATCTCTGCTCACAGCTTCCTAAAAGATGGATCAGCCTTGAGTTTAAGGTTACAGCCAGCGTATTTCAAATTGATCAGTACCTCTCCCCTCCCCGACATTGTCATTAAAAATAATCCTTACTTACTCACATTCCTGATTGTGGGATCTTACTTTGCAACAGTTGACAGCTGTATTTCCTGCCTTACTTTGATGCAGAGAATTGAAGAGAAAGTGTAACAAGGCTGCTACCAAATTTGAAGGGTTTGAGCTATAGGGAGACGCTGAATAGGCTGGGACTACTTTCCCTGGAGTGTTGGAGGCTGAGGGGTGACTTTATAGAGGTTTATAAAATCATGAGGGGCACTGACAGAGTAAATAGACAAGGTCTTTGCCCAGAGTGGGGAAGTCCACAACTAGAGGGCATAGGTTTAAGATGAGAGGGGAAAGCTTTAAAACGGACCTGAGGCCAACTTTTTCACACAGAGGGTGGTATGTGTATGGAATGAGTTGTCCGTGGAAGTGATGGAGGCTGGTACAATTGCAACATTTAAAAGGCATCTGGCTGGGTACATGAATAGGAGGTGTCTAAAGGGATATGGGCCAAATGCTGGCAAATGGGACAAGATTAATTTAGGATATCGAGCTAGCATGGATGAGTTGGACTGAAGGGTCTGTTTCCGTGCTGTATGACTCTATATTCCTAAGAAATCTGTTGTCTTATTTAGACTGCTTCAAGATGTGAGTCCAGTTTAATAGCGAGATTGGTTTGCTGTAATTTTCATCTTAAAGTTATGTACAGCAGGCAACAGTGAGCCACCAGTACCCCCTTTTCCATCTCCCCCTATCTTCAATCTCAGTTTGATCGAAGATGTAGCAAATCAAGACAACTCTCATTGAATTGCAACTGCTTTCTGGCGTGGTCCAGCAAGACTTTCAGATTTTTTCTCTCCAGCCTTTCACTGCCTGTGCATTTTCTTCAAACCCTCAGCTCTCTTTATAAGAGGATTACTCCCACATTCTTCACTCAGTCTTGTCTGTGCCAAAAGCCTGTACATCTTGTACCTTGGCTGCTACAATGTCTGTACTTAACTGTATCTTTGTGCAGGTGTTAAGCTGCAGGCTGTAAAGCAAGGCTGCAAAAATTGATCAGAAACCTGACCTGCTCGCAACAATCACATATCCCTTTGCAATTCGCTCACTCTGAAGAGATTCAGCAACTATGCCCTTCCAAAACCCATGGGCGTGGGCATCACTAGCAAGGCCGATGTTCATTCTCCACCCTGTGGTTGCCCACATAAGAATGTAGGAACTGATTGCCATTTTCTTAAAGCATGAAACTGTGGCTCTCATTGGCTGGGTCAGCATTTATTGCCCGTCCCTACTTGCCCCCTTTGAGAAGGTGTGGGTGAGCTGCCATCTTGAACCGCTGCATTCCATGTGCTGTAGGTTGACCCACAATGCCTCTTAGGGAGGGAACTCCAGGATTTTGACCCAGCGACAGTGAAGGAACGACGATATATTTCCAAATCAGCATGGTGAGTGGCTTGGAGGGGAACTTGTAGGTGGTGGTGTTCCCGTGTATCTGCTGCCCTTGTCCTTCTAGATGGTTAGAGGTTGCAGATTTGGAAGTTGGTGTCAAAGGAGCATTGTTAAATTTCTACAATGCATCTTGTAGATGGTGCACACTGCTGCTACTGAGTGTCAGCGGTGGAGGGAGTGAATGTTTGTAGATGCGGTGCCAATCAAGCGGGCTGCTTTGTCCTGGATGGTGTAAAGCTTCTTGAATGTTGTTGGGGCTGCACCCATCCAGGCAAGTGGGGGGTATTCCATCACGCTCATGACTTGTACCTTATAGATGGTGGGCTGGCTTTGGGGAGTCAGGAGGTGAATTACTCGCTGCAGGATTTCCAGCCTTTGACCTGCTCTTGCAGACAGTAACTGATCCAGTTCAGTTTCTGGTCAATGGTGATCCCCAGGATGTTGATAGTGGGTCATTCAGCAATGATAGCGCCATTGAATATCAAGGGCAATGGTTAGATTATCTCTTGTTGGAGGTGGTCATTGCTTGGCACTTGTGTGTGCGCAAATATTACTTGCCATTTATCAGCCCAAACCTGAATGTTGTCCAGGCCTTGCTGCATTTTTGCATGGACTGCTTCAGTATCGGAGAACTTGCAAAACATCCCCACTTCTGACTTTGTGAGGGAGGGAAGGTCATTGATAAAATAGTTTGATCTTACTGAGAGTTTTGCTGGGCCACTTTGGAGATGAGCTAAGAGTTAAATAGATTAACTATCAATGCTTTCAGACCAACTGAGCATACTCCAAAATTTCTGCTTTTATTTCAGGTTACGAGTATCTGCAATGTTTTGTTCCTGTACACTCTTGTTCTGGTCTGGAGCTAATGTATGTGCCCAGACTAAATGCAGAAAATACTTCCAGAAGTAGCAGTTCTTTCATTCCCTATAACCTACATGGAACCGTTGAGGCAAATTTCATTGATACATGCAAGCTGTGCTTGCTACAATTGTACAAGGCATTACTGAGCCTGAACCTGGATTATTGTGTGCAGTTTTAATGCCCTTACTTAAGGAAGGGTACAATTGTATTGGAGGTAGTTCAGAGGAAGTTCACCAGATTGATTCCAGAGATATGGGGTTTGTCTCATTAAGAGAGATGGAGCAGCTTCGGCCCAGGTTGTCTGGAGTTTGTAAGAATGAGAACAGATCTAATTGAGGTATATAAGATGCTGAAGGGGATTAACAAATGGTAATGTTTCCTCATGTGGGGCAATCTAGAATGAGAGGTCATAGCTTTAGGACAAGGGGTGGCAGATTTACTTCTCTCAAAGGGTCGTGAGTTTGTGGAATTCACTCCCACAGAGTGCAGTGGATGCTGGGATTCTGAGTAAATTTGAGGAGGAGATAGATAAATAGATTTTTAATTAATAATAGGTTCAAGGGTTATTGAGAGCAGGCAGGAAAGAGAAGTTGAGGCTGAGATGAGATCAGCCATATTCATATTAGATGGTGGAGCAGGCTGGAAGGGCTGAATGGCCTACTCCTAGTTCTTAACTAGGAGTTAAGATAAGATAAGATGAGTGGGATAAGATTTTAGGTTCATAAACTCTGACGCAGCAATGGCAGTCATGAAGCATTTTGGTAGCTGTGAGTGCCTTGTGCTATGTTATTGTTGGTGAATGTGGCTGACGAGACTGACCCTGTGAGGCTGAATTGTTGCTGCAACAAACATGTAGCTCAGTGTTCATTTTACGTTTATCCCCTTTAGCATCTTATAAACACTGTGTCTTCATCAAGACCATTTCCCCCACACTCCGTTCCACCACTGACGCTCCCTGACAACGACGAGGCGTGCCCCATGAACGTTTAACAATTAACGCACTATCTTCCACATTTTGGTTCACCCTCAGTAAAATCTGCAGCTAACACAAAGCTGGGTGGGAGAGTGAGCTGTGCAGCAGATGCAGAGATGCTTCACTGTGAGTTGGACAGGCTGAGGTAATGGGCAAATACATGGCAGTATAATGTAAATAAATGAGGTTATCCACTTTGGTAGCAGAAGGAGGAAGGCAGATTATTATCCGAATGGCTCTAAATTGAGAGAGAGAATGTACGATGAGACCTGGGTGTCTTTGTACAGCAGTCACTGAAAGTAAGCATGCAGGGGAAGCAGGCAGTGAGGCAGGTAAATGGTACACTGGCCTTCATAGTGAGAGGATTTGAGTACAGGAACAGGGGTGTCTTGCTGCAATTGTACAGGGCCTTAATGAGGCCACACCTGAGGTGCTGTATGCAGTCGGTCTCTTTATCATAGAATCGTTGAATCCCTACAGTGTGGAACCAGGCCCTTTGGCCCAACAAGTCCACACCGACCCATCCCCATATAACCCACCTAAGCTCCACATCCCTGGACACTATGGGCAATTTAGCATGGCCAATCCACCTACCCTGCACATCTTCGGACTGTGGGTGGACACCAGAGCACCCGGAGGAAACCCACACAGACATTGGGAGAATGTGCAGACAGTCGCCCCAGGATGGAATCGAACCTGGGTCACTGGCGCTGTGAGGCAGTATTGCTAACCACTGAGCCACTGTGCACCCATGGTCCAAAAATTTCACCTCTAGCGGCACAATACAAATTCCCCCAGCCGTCCCTCTTAATCATGGCTTTATCTGAGGAAGGTGCTCTGGTGATGGAGGGACTGCAGTGAAGGTTTACCAGACTGATTCCTGAAATGGCAGGACTGATGTATGAAGAGAGACTGGATCGGTTAGGGCTATATTCACTGAGGTTTATAAGAATGAAAGGGGATATTGCAGAAACCTAGAAAATTCTAACAGGCCTAGACTTGGATGTAGGAAGGATATAAATGCAGGAAGGATGTTCCCAATCACTGGGCAGTCCAGTACCAGGGACCAGTCTAAGGAAATGAGTTAAGTCATTTACAACTGGGCTGAGGAAAAATATCTTCACCCAGAGCATGGTGAGCCTGTGGAATTCTCTGCCACAGGAAGCGGTTGAGGCCAAAACATTGAATGTTTTCAAGAAGGAATTAGATATAGTTCTTAGGGCTAAAGGGACCAATGGGTATGGGGGAGAAAGCAGGAACAGGGGACTCAGTTGGATGATCAGTCATGATCATATTGAATGGTGGAGCAGGTTCGAAAGGCCGAGTGGCCTACTCCTGTTCTTAATTTCCATGTTTGTATATCCGCAGCTCCAATTTTGTCATGCCTCACAACACAGATGGATTCGTCCAACAAAGAGCAGGGACAGACCTGTGACGCTGTTCTCTCAACAAGGTTGTTGCCATTTCAGTTATTAAAACTGACAGGGTTACAGATACTTGCTGCACATTCAGGCAGTGATCCAACAAGTAACTCAATAAATCTATGGTAGTGTTCTCATCTCATCAACGTAGGCTGTTTAATGTGATACAAGGCAACTCACAGAAACATTATGATGTGAAATATAACACCGGCTCACATGAGGATGTCAGGAGTGATGAACCAAACAGTTAACCAAAAAACTGAGTTTTAAATTTCCTCTTGAAACAGGAAAGTGAAATGGAGAGGGTTAAGGAAGGGCTTCCAAAGCAGTTGGAGCCTAAACAGCTGAAGTGTGACTACTAGCAGAGTATTTAAAACCCAGAGGTATCAAGAGGCCAAAATAGGAGAAGCTCAGAGACCTCGAAGGGATTATTTTTAATTCTCTTTCACCAGATTTGGGCATTGCTGGACTGGGTCAGAATTTATTGCCTGATCTGAGAGGATTTTTTGCACTGCTCTGTCAGTGAGGTGCACACTCTGAGAGTGGAGATTTCATCTGAGTCAGACAGAGGGGGTGAGCAAATCTGGGAAGTTGTTTCAAAGTAGGAATTCAGCTGATGTGTCTTTTCCAAGTTCAGTTTTAAACTTAATTTCGGATTCAGGCAGTAGCCTTTGAGTAGGTTAAAATAGACTAATAAAAAGAGAAAGTTTTATGACACTGGCCATTCGCATTTAAACACCTGAAATCCTTTGTGTAAACGAGATGCTGGTTTATTTTGCTTAAAAGTGACTCGAGCAGACACATACAAGAAAAGGACCTTTTGCACTATGCAGTCACTGAGTGCAAATCTCTCTTGAGTGAGACAAAGACTAAGTGAGTGAAACTGGGAATTTGGCAATCCGGTGCAAAAGGCACTGGTACGTTAACTAATGTTTACTGTGAGAAGCAAACACTCCAAACCAAGAGGTGAGTAGGATATGATAAAGAATGTGGATGGAGACTGACCTGCATAGAGACCTGTGACAGAGGTATATCACAGCGTGATGTGAGTACATGAGAATAAACTGTTTGGTGAGAAGGATTGGGGAATATTTCTACTTGCTAAAATAGAAATAAAGTTTTCAGTTTGAGTTTAGGACTCTGATAGTAGAATTGAGGCCAACATGAAATTATTCATAGATAACAAAGTGTGGAGCTACAGGAACACAGCAGGCCAGGCAGCATCAGAGAAACAGGAAAGTTGACGTTTTGGGTCAGGACCCTCCTTCAGAAAAAAGCTCCTCTGATGCTGCCTGGCCTGCTGTGTTTCTCCAGCTCCTCACTGTGTTATCTCTGACTGCTATCTCTGTTCTTGTTACCTCAATGAAATCATTCATGATTATATTAAATGGCAGAACAGGCTTGAGGGGTTGAGTTGTCTACTCCTGATCCCAGTTCTGATGTAGTGTTGCTAAATTCTATCATGTTATGATCACTGTTACCAAAAGGATCTTTTCTTCTGAGATCATTTATTAAACCTTCCCTATTTCTGTATCCAAAATAACTAGTTTTGTGGTTGGAACTACAATATATTGCTCCAGGAAATTGTCCCAGACCTCATGGTTACCTCATAGCTACCTCCGTGGGCTGGGCAGCTGATGTGGATCAGAGTGGTACCAACAGCTTGAATTTGATCCCAGTGCTTGTTGGCATAGATTTGGGACCTGCCTCCATAGTGGAGGTCGTGGCACTGTAGGTCGGAGCTTTGAACCCAAGAAGAAGTGGTGGGATTGGAACCCAGGCTTTCACGGAACCATGATGCTACCATAGCTGTTAGTGTGGCCTGTGCGTTGACAATTGGTATCGGTTTCTCACCACTCTGCTGCTGTGTGGTTGAAACATTGAGATGCTTTTGACCCTGTTCATTCTCACACTGCAATGCACTCACTGGATGTCCCTACAACGTCAACAGGAAATAAACCAGGAACAATGTTAGATTGGTCACATCACTGGCAATTACACTCAACATCACAACATGCTCATCCCTTATGGGGGAACTGCTCAGGTAGGTTCCAGCTTTGGAGGAACGTATTGGAAGAGGTCCCGAGTATGAATATTCAAATGGGACATACTGACTGAAAAATAAAACACGACAGGAAGGGGCTACGTAAAGCCAGCTGGTTCACAGCTCCTCTCTTGGTATAAACGTTACAGAGATGTTGCTTTCAGAGTCAGTGGACAATGAGAGTTATCAGTGAATGACGTGTAGGCTTTGTTCTTTCAGATTGTCAACGAATATGAAAGAGCTGTGATATTTCGATTGGGCCGTATTGTTCACGGGAGAGCGAAAGGCCCAGGTATGTTTACAAATCCATTGTGAAGAAACTACAGTTTGTGCTTTGCTGGCAGTTATACTGCGTGGTGGTACCATGGGAACATCACTGGATTCAGAAGCAAACACAAAGAATGCTGGAGAAACTCAGCAGGTCTGGTAGCACCTGTGAAGAGAGAGAAACAACGTTAATGTTTTGAGACTGGTACATGACTCTTCTTCAGAACACATGAAGATCTTCTGAAGTAGAGTAATGGGAGCAGGGAAATCCATCTGCAACTACGCAAGGTGCTGGTGAGATCACATCTGGAGTTCTGTGAGCAGTTTTGATTTGATTTACTATTGTCACATATACTGAAATACAGTGAAAAGTATTGTTTTGCATGCTAAACAGATAAATCATACCTTACATTAGTACATCTGGGTAATAGAATAAAATGCAGAATGTAGTGTTACAGCTACTGAGAAGGTGCAGAGAAAGGTCAACTCTAATATACGAGAGGTCTGTTCATATGTGTGATAACAGCGAGAAAGAAGATGTTCTTTAGTCTGTTGGTACATGTTTTCAAACTGTTATATCTTCTGTCCAATGGAAGAGGGTGGAAGAGAGTATAATCGGAGTGGGAGGGGTCTTTGATTATGTTGGCTGCTTTCCTGAGGCAGCGGGAAGTGTAGACGGAGTCAATGGATGGGAGGTTGGTTTGCATGATGGACTGGGCTGTGCTCACAACCCTCTGTAATTTCTTTGGGTCTTGGGAAGAGCAGTTGCCATACCAAGCTGTGATGCATCTGGATAGGATGTCTTCTATGGTGCATCTATAAAAATTGGAAAGAGTCATTGTGGACATGCTCAAGTTCCCGAGTTTCTGATGCAGTAGAGGCACTGGTGTGCTTTTGTGACTGTAGCATTGATGTGGATGGACCAGGATAGAACGTTGGTGATTATTACTTCTCGGAACTTGAACCTGTCTACCACCTCCACCTCAGCACCATTGATACAGACAGGGGCATGCCCCCCACTCTACTTCCTGGAGTCAATGACCACTCTTTCATTTTGCTGACACTGGGGGAGAGATTGCTGTCTTTGCACCATGTTACAAAGGTGTCTATCTCCTTAAAAACTGAAAGCACTGCAGATGCTGTAAATCAGAGACAAAAAATAGGAATTGCTGGAAAAGCTCAGCAGGTCTGGCAGCATCTGTGGAGAGAAAACAGAGTTAATGTTTTAGGTCAAGTGATCCTTTCTCAGAACTGGGGAAGTTCTGAGCAAGGGTCATTTGATCCAAAACGTTAACCCTGATTTGTCTCCGCAGATGCTGCCAGATCTGCTGAGCCTTTCCAGCAATTCCTATTTTTGTCCATCTCCTTCTTGTACTCTGTCTCATCATTGTTTGAGATCTGATCCACTACGGTGGTGTATTCAGCAAATTTGTAAATGGGGTTAGAGCTGAATTTGGCCACACAGTCTGAGTGTACTGGGAGTACAGTAAGGGACTGAGTACACAGTCTTGCAGGGCACTGGTATTGAGGATTATTGTGGAGGAGATGTTGTTGCATATCCTTACTGATTGCTGTCTGTGTGTCAGGAACTCAAGGATCCAGTTGCAGAGGGGAGAGCAGAGCCCTAGGTCTCAGAGTTTGGAGATGAGTTCAGTTAGAATAATGATGTTGAAGCCGAGGTTAAAGTCAATAAATAGGCATCTGACGTCGGTGTCCTTGTTACCCAGATGTTCCAGGGATGAGTATAGGGCCAGGGAGATGGTGTCTGCTGTGGACGCGACAGTAGGCAAAGATCAAGGCAATCTATTTTTTCCTTTATTCATTCACGGGAAGAAGGCGTCACTGTCCAGGCGGCATATATTGTCATCCATAATTGCCCAGAAGGCAGTTAAGAGTCAACCACATTGCTTTGGGTCTGGAGTCACATGTAGGCCAGACCAGGTAAGGATGGCAGTTTCCTTCTCTAAAGGACATTAGTGAACCAGATGGGTTTTTCCAGCAATCGACAATGGACTCACAATCATCGTTAGACTCTTAATTCGAGATATTTTATTGAACTCAAATTCCACCATCTGCCACGGCGAGATTTGAACCCAGGTCCCCAGAACATTATCTGGGTCTCTAGATTCACAGTCCAGCGATAATGCACATTGCCTCCCCTGGGAGGCTGGAGTTGATGTATGCTATTACTAACCTCTCAAAGCACTTCATAATGATGGATGTCAGGGCCACCAGGCAGTAGTCATTAAGGCACATTGTCTGATTTTTCTTTGGTCCCCTTATTTAAGGAAAGATATCATTTCTTTGGAGGCAGTTGAGACAAGGTTTATTAGAGTGATGCCTGGCATGGAGGGATTTTCTTATGAGCAAAGACTTAGCAGGCTGGGACTCTACTCACTGGAGTTTAGAAGCATGAGAGGTGATCTCATTGAAACATATTGGATTCTTAAGGGGCTTGACAGAGGAAGTGCTGAGAGAATGTTTCCCCTCGTGGGAAAGTCTAGGACCAGAGGGCATCATCTAAAAATAAAGGAACGTCAATTTAAGGCTGAGATGAGGAGGCATTTCTTCTCTCAGGGGGTTGTGAGACTTTGAAACTCCTTGCCACAAAGAGCTGTGGGGATATTGTGTATATTTAAGGCTGAGATAGATGGATTCTTAGTCAGTCAACGATTCAAGGGTTATGGGGAAAGGGCAGGAAAGTGATGTGAGGAATGTCATGTCAGTCATGATCCTGTTAAATGGTAGAGCAGACTCAAGGGGCTGAATGGCCTGCTCCTGTTACTTTTTCTTACAGTCTTATAGACTCAAGACGTTAACTATGTTTCCCTCTCCACAGTCCTGCTGAGGTTCTCCAGCATTCTCTGTGTTTGTTTCATATTTCCAGAATCTGCAGAATTTTGCCTTTATTATAGCATCACAGGGTAACAATCTAGCAACATGGGTTCAAATCCCACCATGTCAACTAATGGAATTTCAATTCAGTTCATTCAATCTGGAAAATACAGCTCATCAATGGTAACCATGAGGCTCTCATTAATTGCCATTAAAATCCATCTGGCTCATTAATGACCTTTAGGGAGGAAAATCTGCCATCCTTACCCAGTCTAGCTTGCATGTGACTCCAGACCCACCACGGTGAGGAAAATCTGCCATCCTTACCCAGGCTAGCTTGCATGTGACTCCAGACCCACCGCGGTGAGGAAAATCTGCCATCCTTACCCAG